TTTTATTAATCAATAAAATTTATTTAAATGTATCTGAACTTAAAGACCTTATCGTGTTCGAAGTGTGTGCGAAAGATAGGCTAGATCCGTCGAATAGTTTTTGCACAATTTAATTTGTTTATAAGATTTTTTGAAAAATGCACAAATTTCTAAGGCCGGTCCAGATAATTTGACTGAATGGATCTTAAAAATCCGGGGCTTATTTTCTTTGTTGAGACATATATTAATATCCTATGGAAAAAAAAGTTAAAAAAAATTACGTTTATGTACACAAAATGATTTAACAATAAATAGCACTTTTTAAGCTTATAAACATTTACAATAACTCCGTACTATTTAGTTTAAATTAAATGGCAATACAATATTCGGAAAGCTGGTTAAAAAACACAACTTAAAAAAAAAAGAAAAAGGTCCTGCGACCATTAGGAGCCGAGTTAGTCCTTTTTTTTTAAATCACTGTTACGTCAATTAACAACATTAAGGGCTGAAATTAACCAATCAAAAAGTCAAAGTTTTTAACAAAATATTTAGCAAACAAAATAATTGAAAATTGATTAAACAGGAGTGTTGTAAACCAAGAGTACTTTGAGTTCCGACTCAAATGGAAGCAGTGGGGATTGCCGATTACACTCAAGCCGCGCTCTAAAAAAAGTCGAGCGTCGAGCGCACGTCGAAAGCGGTACAACTCATTTTCCTGCGACTATACAACCGGTTTGTTGTATTGAAATATTTAGTGTTTTGTTTTATTTAATAATTGTTACAAATAATTAATGGTACGTAAAATTCATCTAAATATTAAAAAAAACTACGTGTTCTGATATATATATATATATATATATATATATATATATATATTATATATATATATATATATATATATATATATATATATATATATATATATATATGTTAGTTTGAAGTGTTTCACGGATGGAGTAATATGTTGAACAATTATTAAATATATATTATTACTCACTGTGCGTTGTCTTCGGTCTCGTAGTCGGTAACTGATTCAGTTACCGACTACGAGACCGAAGACAACGCACAGAAGATAACGTCTGCAATTAAAAATGACCAACGGATATTTATAATTGTTATATATATATATATATATATATATATATATATATATATATATATATATATATATATATATATATATATATATATATATATATATATATATATATATTAATATAAACACATGGTTGTACCACGTTGTCTGAATAATATACGGTTAACTTTGAATATAATATTATTTTACTATTATAATGTACTAATATTTATGAAATTATTAATGAAGAAGAAAACGATACAACAGATGAACAAGAGATAATTGATGAAATGTATTTAACTGGGTTTGATGAGAATAGCGACAATGAAAATGAAATGATTTATGAAAGTTATAATACAAGTGAAATTGAAGATGAAAGTGAAGATGAATGTTTACATAGTAGTAGCAGTGACGATATAGAAATTAAGCGTAGAAAATTACAGTAAATTAAATTATTTTAAAAAATCACTACACAAAATTTCAACTTCTGTAATAACATAAAATTAATTTATTATTTCATTAATAAATTTTTAGTAAACATTATTCAAAATGTTTATTTACTTATAACAGTTATTTAATATAATCATATTTGAAATAAATAAATAGAAAAATAACAATAAAAAGACGACTCAAGAAAAAGTTTGTACATTCCGTAGTCATTAGCTGCTTTGTTTTGATTAATTTTGCAATGAAAGTATGTTAAATATTATTATTTTAACGTTGTACCCCAGTTTAAAAAAAAAAGAACAAATTTGGTCCACTAGAACCCGAGATATGTCATTTTTGTCCAAGCAATCTATTTTGAAACCGTGCGCTTGACTTTTTTGGAGAGCGCGGCTTGTGTGCAATCGGCAATCCCCACTCCTTCCATTCTAGTCGGAACGCAAAGTACTCTTCGTTTACAACACTCCTGTTTAAACAATTTTCAATTATTTTTTTTGCTAAACATTTTGAGAATAACTTTGACTTTTCTTCTAAAAGATTGGTTAATTTCAGCCCTTAATGTTGTTAATTGACGTAACAGTGATTTAAAAAAAAAAAAGGACTAATTCGGCTCCTAATGGTCGCGGGACCTTTTTTTTTTAAAGTTGTTGTTTTTTAAACCCGCCTTCCGAATATTTTATTGCCATTTAATTTAAACTAAATAGTACGGAGTTATTGTAAATGTTTATAAACTTAAAATGTGCTATTTATTAATAAATCATTTTGTGTACATAAACGTATTTTTTTTTAAATGTTTTTTCCACAGGGTAATAATATATGTCTCATCGAAGAAAATAAGCCCTGGATTATTAAGATCCAATCAGTCAAATTATCTGGACCGGCCTTAGAAATTTGTGCATTTTTCAAAAAATCTTATAAACAAATTAAATTGTGCAAAAACTATTTGACGGATCTAGCCTATTTTTCGCAAACACTTCGAACACGATGAGATCTTTAAGTTCAGATACATTTAAATAAATTTTATTGATTACTAAAAGAGTTATTAACAATAATCAAAAACAGCCGTTTTACTTGGTTATTATGCAATAACTTTTTTGTTTATTAACCGATTTTAATTTAGTATATCTCATTTTGTGTATTTTTTCTTTCTCAACAACTCGTCTGTGGACGTCAAATCTCTAAATAGACAAGTTTATAAGTTATGAGCAAAATAATGATATTGACGTATTAATTGTTTATTTAAAAATAGTTCCACTAAAAAATTCATGAATCCCTAGATGAGAGTCTTTTTGTAATATCTCATACTATCCATTTCAACTGTCAAACCCGTCTATACAGTTGTGACGAAAAAAACGCTTATTTTCTACTAACTTGACTCGTCTAATTCTGTGTTTATACGTCCATGTGAAAAATGCTACAATTATATGTATATATTTATATACATATAATTAGTTGCAATTATATTCTACGATTTCTGTAACTTTGCAGGTATCTGAAAACGATTGAATGAAATAAATAGTCATTAAAAGTCCAAAAGCATTTTTTCAATATACATAAGTAAATATTTTTTCAATCATTGCTGCTTTCCGAATTTATTTCAACCAGTAAATTGAATGAATTTGAATCTACCATTCTCAGTGACGTCATTCCCGCCATTAGATTCTCCACACTGATTTATGTAAATTCTAATCTAACCTTGGCTTGATGTGATCTTTATGCAGCTTGATGGAGTGGTCACAGAATAATAAACAATCAGAATGCCCACTCTCAGATGCTGCCTTTGAAGTTTTTCAGCACGCGCGCCATGTTTTAGAAGGAAACACATAACACAGACATTATGATTTGTGAGGTTATATAATTGTTTATATTTATGTTTAATTATATTATATTTATGTTATTATATTTAAAAATGTTATTGCCGTTAGTCAATAAAACCGGGTTAATTTTGTCTATGCACACCACATAAACAACACCTGTAAAACATGGCGGAACGTTTCGAGCAAAAAGACAATAGAGGGAATGTAAAGGTAGTGGGGGCAAACATATTGTAAAGACAGGAAGTGCCATGGGGAAGTGCGATCTTTAGAGGCCACTTTAAACAAGGAAAGAGAGTCTCTCTCCTTGTTTGACATCAAATTTAGTTGGGTTATGTTATTGTTTGTCCCAAATGTCACATGAAATCTTATTTATATTGAAGTTTTTTAACAATTGTGTCGCATTTTAGACTCATCATTAATAATTAATTAAAACTTTCTTGTCTAAGACACATTCTGCGAAATATTATACATATAGCTACTGTTGATAAGTGTCGGAAAATTTAAATTTGGCGCATTCGCATTTCCGGATATGTCCGCCATCAGAGGCCACTTTTTTGGTCTCCTTTTCATAAGGATTAGATTCCCTCTTTTGTCTTATTGCTCGATGGCGTACGCGTACTTAATTTTCCATGGAGAGTGGGCATTCTGATTGTTTATTATTCTGTGGAATGGTTTTGTATCGTATTGCCAATCCCATAAACGGAAATCCCCAACGCATCACAAAACAAAATTAACATACAAATTACTGATACAAATTATAATTATAATAGTAATAAACACAAATTGAATATTAAGTTAACAGCACTTGATTTAGTTGAATATTATTTTTATTATGAATTTAAAATACTTATAATATTGGTTTTAAAACAATATTTAAAAGTCTAGAGAGGTTAAAAAGGTTTACTTTCTTACCTGACATAGGAGTTTTTTATTTAGTGATTGGTAGTGATGGTCAGAATCGATTACTTTTGGGAATCGGTTACCGTGGAATCAAGTACAGTACGGAATCGGATACTTTATTGAGTACTGAGTGCCGAGTACTGTGGATATCAGATTTTGAATTAATAGTCGGTTTGTCAATCTTTATCTGTAATTTTTCAATTATTTGTGTTTTTTTGCGTATGTTTTTTTTTTGTTTTATAATAAATATAAGTTTGGCAAACAAATACAAACATTTTAGATAGTTGTTGGCATCATTAAAGTAATTATTTAGCTAACAACAAAATTTTCAGTATTCTACTATTGTCTAAAAAATAAAAAACAGTTCAAATATTAAATGAACATTAAAAATAAAAATTAATAAATATAAAAAAATATTCTAGAATATATTACAAAAAAACAAAACAGAAATATTAAGAATAAAACTTTAAAAATATAATTCTGTCCAAGTTTTTTGGCAATAGTCGGTTTCGACGATCATTCGTTAATTGCCCTGCCTTCGAGAAGATTCTTTTAGATGGAACCGAGGTCCCAGAAACAGATAAATTCCGAATGACCTGAACATTACTGTAATTTCTGACCGTTCTATAATCGGCGTGATTTGGCAAGTATTCAGTTAATTCAGTACTTAGTACTTAATCGGTTTCCAGTTCGAGTACTCGAGTACAATTGATTCTGTAAGGAATCGGATACTACTCGATTCCAGTATTCAAATACTCCCATCTTTAGTGATTGGTTGCCCTGTTGTTTTTATGGGTGTTAGTTAAAGTTAAAACTAAAAAAAAAACATTAAAACGAAAACGTTAAAACGGACAGATGAAGTGCTGGCTATTTCCAAAATATTTAAGTAAAAGAGAAATTTTACATTATTGTGGTTTAATGTAACAGTTAGTTTTTATTCTAGATTAATTATAATTGGAGAATTATAACCTTTATAATGTGTTCAAACATTTATTGGCGATTTAAGTAAACTTCCTTAAAAAATTATTTTGATGTAAACAAGCTGCAACTGTTGATAAACTTATTTATTATGATACAAGGAAACTGAGTGACAATAACGGGAAAATGGTTCCAATTCCATCTGAGTACCAATATGATTTTTGGGATAAGACATCTCCAGAGTGTACCATTACATTAACTTGTTTGATGCCCAATGGAATCATAATTTTGTTAAATAATACTAACTACAATGCAACTCTTGCTGAAATCAAGGAGGTTAGTTTGAATGTTTGTTTTATAGTAAAAGTAAATTAAAATTGTTATTATCTGATGAGATGAGATAAACCTTAATTTTTTAATTCTGACAATAAAAATAATAATTGGAAAAGATAAAATAAGATTCGTAACATGTAATATATTCTACATCTTAAGAACTACTAGATAATAACATAGCATATTCGATATTTCTAAAAAAAAATAAATTTAATTAATACATGAGGTACCTATATCACTTAAACAAAAAAATTTTTTTAAGTTGATCTCTTATACCTTTTCTAGTGCTAATATTTTTTGTAAATATTAAATTTCTTAATAGTAAATTTCTTAAATGTAAAACTAGGTTCATAGTTCTTTAAAAAGTATTGCATATTATATCCAAATAATGGAAGCCATTTACCCTTCTAAAAATCGAGTAATTAAATAAAGAGCCCAATATGATGAACAGTGATTAATCTTGTCAGTTTTGAGTGTTCACTAGGTCAAAACAACTTTGCTGTTGATCATAATTAGATTTTGTATTATTTAAATATTAAATTTTTTTTGATGCCTTATAGTATTATAACTCATAACCATTACCTTAGGGTTCCATTTCGTATGTACATATATATTTATAAGGTAATAACTAGAATAATATGCCAAGCTTTGGAAAATATATTAATAGTTATTTATTGTACAAGACGATAAAATTGTACTTTATCTTCAAGAGACGTTTTTTAGCTTCGAGACGTCAGTCGAGACGCTAATTATGCTCGAGAAGATAATGCGATTTTATCGTCGTGTGCAATACAACATTTTTTTTTCTATAGCAAGACTTCAAGTTCAGGTGAAAAATAGAATTTCAAAGAAAATTGTAATTTTTAGCACAAAAATCGCACTTGTGTTGCTCCGTTGCTAGGGATATGAATTACTCTGTCAACAAATGTTGTGTTTTGATTTTTGCGGAGAATATTGTTGCGTTTTGTGTACAAAGTGAATAAATACGAAATGGGCAGAAGAGACTTGACACAAGAAAAGGAAAACCTGCCATCAGATGTAGAAAATCCAGAGTTGGAAGCAGAAAGTTTATTGTTGCCACAAAAATCTAGGATGGTGTATGAGAAAGAATGCCAGTCTTTTAAAAAGTGGAAAAGCATTAAGAATATCAATGGCGTGAATGAAAAAATACTTCTGGCATATTTTTCTGAAAAGTCAAAGAAAGCGATGCCATCGTCATTATGGTCATATTATTCAATGCTGAAGCGTACATTGTTGGTGAATGAAAATTATGAAATTTCTAAATTCAGCAAGTTAACCACCTTACTAAAAAACCTAGTTATTGTTATTTTTGGTGTGCATTGTCCAATGAATTGTACAAGTTAGAAGTGTTTAATGTGGACGACAGAAAATCGGTGATAATTGTTTCATTATCTGATACTAAAACCAAGCAGGAAAGGTCGTTTTGTATTACTGACAAGAAAAGTGGACTGAGTTTCTTGGAAATTGTGAGAAAGTATATTGCCTTGTGCCCCAAGAACGTACCTCACAGTAAGTTTTTTGTAAATTACTGACAACAAAAGTGCACTACTCAACAGGTGGGGATTAAACACTATATATATATATATATATATATATATATATATATATATATATATATATATATATCCCAAGAAGATTGCAGATTTTTTGAAACTTGCAAATTCAGAAATGTACATGGGGCATTGTTTCTGTTGTTCTTTAGTTGGAGCTGATCTAGTAAAAGTTAAACAATGAGTCAATAAGCAATAAGATTGCTGTATCCAAGTGTATACTTGGAGGACCAGAAAATCAATCCAGTACCTCGAATCAAGTGTTTAAGCAAACAAGTACAAGTTGTGATGCTCCAAAAATAGATATTTCTAATAATGTTAATTGTAAAATTTCAGTTGTTTTTAATCTTTAATGTGTTTGAATTTGTAAATTTTATTGAATAAAAAAAAGTTAAAACATTTTATCTACTCTTGCTTTTAAGTGTCACTTTATCTACCCTTGTGGTTAAAGTGATGCTTTATCTACTCAAAACAGTTGTTATAGCAACACTTTAACATTAGCTATAGAAAAAAAGTAAATTTCACAATAACAATAATTGCTTTAACAACTGGTGTCATTAGCGTCATTAGTTATTACATTATATTAAATTACATAAAGATGTATTGTTTAGAAAGCCAATTAAGTTTTTGATATTTAAATGTTCACCTAATATTGTTTTTAAATCCCTGGCAATATTGTTATTTTGTCTGTTCACTGTACATTTTCCACATTCTGTTAGAAGGTGTTCAACAGTAACATTGACTTTGGTCATAGTCCTTAGGTGCTTATGAGTAATATTGGTATGACATAATCAAAGTGGAGAAATTTTGATCTGGTGAGCTCTTTTTAGGTTTAGTAGGTGACATAGTTTCACTGACGATTTAATTGCTTTTAATTTATATTTAATATAAGTCTCATTTATTTTGCCACATGAACTGTTGTAACAACATAGGTTTGACTTAAATGTTTTTTACTTAATTCATATAAATTAAAGGTCGGCACACCTATAAAGACTCACTAGTGAGATTCAGTCCATTATATTTATTTAGTTATTGAAAACAACTGGCAAAGTCAGTTTACGGAAAGGAAAGAGACATGGAAAGTACAGAAAGTTATCGAGGTATTAGCTTTTTAAATGCAATAACCAAACTCATTGAGGCGTTGATTTTAACCAAATTTACCCCGTGGGTATAAAATAATAACATATAAATGATTTCCAGGCAGGATATAGAAAATTCATTTAACTTAGACAATATTTTTAATCTTACGAGTCTATTAAAAATCCAACATGCAAGGGGAGTAAAAAATGTTTATACATTTTTTGTGGACTTAAGTGCTGCTTTTGATACAGTTGAAAGGCGGGCCCTTTTTTAAAAGTTGAGTCACTTGGGATTATTTACTGAAGTGCTGAATGTGATAAAAAGTATGTTCGTGAATACAAAATCGGTAGTCTGGTCAAGGACCAGACTCCGGTAGGAGTGAGACAGGGATTTCTTTTAAGTCCATTACTGTTTGCGCTTTTCTTGAATGACCTACATGAAGGATTGGGAGGCGGTTAGGAGATAAATGGTTTGATTATAAGACTTTTATTATACGCAGATGATTTGGTTTTGATGGAAATTAATCCGAAGGTGCTACAGCAGATGATAAATGAACTGGAATAATACTGTAGGATGTCGAATCTAAAAATAAATTTAGATAAATCCAAAATTCTTGTATTCAGAAGAGTAGGTGACGTGATCAGGGATTCTTGGAAACTGAATGATCGAGTATTAGAGGTAGTGAATAACTATAATTATTTGGGAATGATAGTAACACCCAAGTTGTCATTTAGAGCTCATCTAAAAAAGTGCCAGAGTTTGCCAAAAGTGGCAATTCTCACGCCTTGGAGTAGTTTAGTGTCTAAGGCTGATATACTCTTTTTGGCTAAAGTAACAGGGTATGAGTCGGTGGTAAGATCAATCTTGACTTATTGGTCTGAGGTATGGGATCTTTTTGAGTACGATAAGGTGGAAATAATCAGAAGATTTTATATAAAAAAAATGTTTACCTGTCCAAGGTATTGTCCCAACTTTATGTTAGATTTAGAGACAGGTATTGCTAGAGTCAACCTATATATAATGCATTTACATAAAAAATATGTTAAAAAAAATACTAAACTACATTCATTTTACAAATTCGCAACTGTAAACAAATGCATGTGAAAGTCAAACAGGGTCGTACTGAGGTGTATTATATGATTTTTAAAAAGATTTACTTTTGAAACTATTAGTGTAAGAATTTCTTGAAATTTAATCATTGTGAGCAAAATTTAATGTTCTATTGAAGAAAAATGTGCTAAAATAAAATATTCATTAACTGAGAGATACATAACAAAGTGAACATTTTGAATAAAGTAGCATTGTCATAAGTTTATCAAAGCATAAAAACATATCATTTAAATTGCTCAGAGTCTGAGGAGCTACATGTGCTGCTGTCTTCATCTGGATTTATTATTATGGGTTCAATATTGTTCTCTATTATATTGTTGAACTTCCACATTTTAGACTCAACTTTTTGTTGAACCTGTTGCACACATTTCTACCACATAGTTGGACTAATTTATTGCATCATAAAAAATATTTTTCATATCTGCACATTTAAAAGTAGTGTTTTTGGCTGCTACATAATTTTTTACTTCTGCCCAGATGAGCTCAATCAGATTGAGCTCACAATGGTATGGGGGCAACCTTAACAACTTTGTTTTAGCTTTTTGCCATCTTATCAATGATATATTTATTATATTGTACCTTATGTTACTTAACGATAGCCAGCAGTTGCACTGTTAACATGGAGTCCTCAAACCCCATATTTTTTTATTTCAGCCACAGTTGGATGTCAGCTTTTCTAGAAGCAATAGTTGGATTTTTTTCCAATATGACGATGGAGTTGTCTTCTAATCAGGGTAGTATATTTTTTAACCAATTTTCGAAAGATTTCGTGTCCATCTCTTTATGGTAGTCCCCACTTTTCTATTCCCACAACCTTCTTTTTTATTCACACAACCTTCTGGAATAAATCCATCTTCATTGCCAATGTGACAGATTATTAGTATTTTTCTTTTTCCTGAAAATTTTATTATTTTATTTTAATAATTTAAAAAACGTATTTTTTTGAAGTTAGGCAAAACCGGATCTTCATTAACAATCCTCAGAATTTTGTCTATTGTGGGTATTTCATTTCGAAAAAAGAATTGATGGATTATTCTTCTTATTGCTTCTCTGTCAAATTCATCCAATACTTAACAATTGATTCCAATATTAACAATACTTTTACGATGCTCAATTGATTTTTATTTGTTATTTCATATTCATGCACCACATTGCGTACACTACGGCTAGACACGCCTACAATAGATAAAAAGTAACAAATATTTGTTAAATAAAGTGAAAATACGCACTCTAAAATAAATA